CCCCGCCGGGGCCGGGGACCCGCCGTGCTGCCGGCGGACGCCGCCCCGGTGGGTACCGACACAACGCTGCTCTGCTCGGCCCGGCCCAGCTCCAGCCCCGTGCACCAGCGGAGCGCGTCCCACCCCAGGGCGTCATCGCTGGACCTTTCCAGCCAGGCAGGACAGCTGACCTTCCCTCTGAAAAAGAGCTACAGCAGCATTTCTGCAAACTGACAGGTTAATGCCCCCTCTCGCTTCTCCCCCTTGTTGCGAGGGGTGAGCATCCCTCGGGCTCCACACCAGCCTGTCACCCGCACCACCGACCTCTCCCTGGCTGAGAGCAGACACCCCCCCACGCACCACACTGCCCGACACGCTGCGGATCTGCACGGTTCAGCTCTAGAGGACTGGGGGAGCCCCCAGGATCGCAGGGCGGGACAATATCTGCACTATATAGGCGAGTCCTAGTTCTGAGATACACTTCACGCTGCACCTTCACAACCTGCCAATGCATCCAAAAGCCCATGCCATGCTGGATGATGCTAGAAAAAACCCTTTGCCATCCCTTTTACTTCAAACCCAAACAGAAGGATGAGGTTGGCATCCACAAAATAGGTATTTGGTGCCATATAAGGCTGCTTGTAAGATAATCAGAGGAGGAGTGGGACAGGGAAGAAAGTGGGCAGGTATCTGAAGTAGTTAAACTTGCTTTGAGCTCCTGGCTACTACGGGAAAGCTCACTGAGATCAAAACACTGGCACATTAACTTCCTGCATGATTACCTATTCTGCAGGATAAAGAAACCATAAATCAAAACCAGTTAGTTCCTGGCTTAATGCTCAAGTTCCCTTTTGAGGGGTTTTCTCTCCAGATATTTTTGTTAAGGTGGTTTTTTCCTCTCTTTTTTTTTTTTCTTCATTGGTTCGCTTGCTTGCATTTACTACAAGAGTTTTAACTTAGAATATAGTTTCCAAAGGTGAATATAGTTTTCCAAAGGTGATTTGGAGAAGAAAGGGATGTGTCATTTAGACTCTGCAGATGGGTGTATTAGATCTCTCTTGGTTGGTTTCCTCTAATGACCTGACATCTACTTCCTAGCAGTCCATCACTTCACCTCAGTGCTTCCTTTTTCCACCACCCACCCATTTAGATATTTCCAAAAGCAATATCCTAAATGGAATTTATGGGTCTGAGTCTATATTAAGATGCATGAAACATTTTCTCAATAATAGAAAGCAGCATTCACCATGCCTGTGTAGCAGCAGCACCGACTCTAGCTTTCATTTGACTTCTGTTTCAGACATTATCCCATGAAACCACTGAAAAATAAGCAGAATTGGACAGCTGTACCCAGCTATCCAGCTGTGACAGCTATTTAGCAAACTGGTGCACAACAGGTTTTGTTTTTCACATTTCATTTTTATTGCTGGTTTAGAGACCACCAATTCCCATTCTAGCTCCAACAAGCAAACATAAGATCTCCTAACAGCGGTGGCTGTGCTTCTTCCAGGACTGCCAGGAAACAACAACCGTGGTTAATGGCACACAAAACCCATGCAATTAACAGCTTCTTCCAGGACTGCCATGAAACAACAACCGTGGCACACAAATGGCACACAAAACCCATGCAATTAACTCCACTGGTCAGTGGAAACTGAGGCACTGGCACAGCCTCAGAGAAGGAGTTTGCTTTTGGAATGAAGAAAACTGAATGGATAAAGACCTCTGCCAGCCTACAGCACTAATTCATTTACCCTTTCAGACTATTTTTCTTTTGGTGAAGCTGGCTTCTGCCTGACCCCAAGAAAGGGATTTTCAATAGCACAAAAATAAGTGGAAAAACAAGTATTTTCTCTGTGTTGAGCTACCTGTCGCTACTTAAACTACTAAAGAAAAATTCTGTGAGCTTAAAAATGTGCATTTTGCCCAGCTATGAAGATGGTGCAAGCTGCAAATAAAAGGATAAACATGGTTCTCAGCAATGGCACTCCAAGGACAACCAAACATCTCAGAAAAAAAATGCCTGTTCTTCACTAAAGATTCCTCTTCTTCCCTTAAGCCTGAAGTCTCATAAACCAGCACTACAACCAGGACCACATTCAGATTTCCAGGATGAGCTCATTTTGCAACTCAGAGTGTTAGTTCAGAGGCAAAGGCAAGGGTGCCCACTCGTGTCCGGCTCCAGAGGGTTATTGATTGCACGCTAACAAAAGCGGAGATTGCTGGTGTGGCCCCACTGGAGCCTGCTGAGGAGCCAACGGATGGACTGCAGCAGCGGCCTCCCCGGGACACGCTGAAGACAGCAGCATGGGGCGCTGAAACTACATGTGGGAACCAGCGGTGTGCACAGAAGTGGTAAAGAAGAGTGTGCAAGAGAAAACACGAAGCAGAGTTGAATGTAGAGATGGGCTAGTGCATGTGGAGAACGTTTGTATTGGCCAGACCGACCGACTTCCCGCGCAGACTGCGGCTGATGCCGCTTCCCGCGTGTCCCCAGCTCAGGAGGAGGCAGCTCTGAGCAGCCCAGCTCCCCGGGAGCCCAGCAGCCCTCCCTGAGGGCAGCAGGAGCAGGGAGCGCTGCCGCAGCTCTGACAAAACCCTGACAGTGGCACTAGGCCTGGCCAGGCCCTGCACCCGCCGCAGCAGGACCCAAGGAGCGCGTCGCCGCAGCACGGAGCGGGGCTCAGCAGCGCCGGCTCCCGGGAAGCTCGGCAGGGATTGGGAGCAAGCTGCATGTAAATGGCTGGTTAAGGAGGAGGGACAGAAGGAAACAACGCACTGTAATTTACCGGGGCTTAGCCTGAAACATATGTTGAAGTGAAGTCACCTTGTGAATATGACGTGCGAGAGAGGCTGGTTTCCCACGCACAGCAGGCACGCCAGGCAAGGCGAGGAGGAAGACTTTGCATTTCAGTCTGGGGCTGCAAAATGAAGCGCCCAGAAAGCAATCTGAAGAGCTAACCCCTGCTCTGGCTGTCGTGCCCACCCCAGCGAGAGCAGACGCATGGCAGCGCCTTCTGCAGCTTCTCCTGCCGCACACACTGAGCCTCAACAGACACCAAGACCACCTAAAGGTGCTCAGAGTGCCCGGAGGCTTCCTAAGCCATGAAGTCCTTCTACACGTGTGGGCTCACATTTGCCAGATCCAGCTCATAATATTTTGAGTTTTGAGTATTGCTTTTCATGAAGTGAAACAACCCCCTGATCCTCTTACATCAGGATGAACATCAATAAGGTTTTGTGCACCCATGCACAGAGGGGAACTCGCAGTACTGTGCAGCCCATGACATGACCCTGAAGAACTGACAAAGACACGAAGAAGCAACACGGGTCCATTCTGGGTATCGCCCACTGCATTATGACTATGAGCAGCAGCATCGGGTTGATCAGGAGGCAGAAGAACTCACACATGTGCACACATGCTCGGTCATGAGCGATGACAGAGAAATGCTGACAGCCAAATTGGTACTTTGGTAAAATAGCAAGAAGCTATTTTGGGAAAAATCTCTCAATCAGCTTCTTTCACAGAATATTTTGGTGCTTTGATGCTATGGTGATAAGTGCCCTAAATATACCAAAAATAGAGAGAAAGACATAACTCTAAACAGGATACACTTTAAAGCAGCAGACCTGGTGAGCAGCTGGTTCGCATTGCCCAGTCCCTCCTTGGGCTGGGCAAAGACACCTGCCCACTTGGTTAATATCACAGTCCCCTAGGCAAAGCAGTTAGCCAATTACTAACCTCGGGCCCCTGCTCACCTGGCAATCCCAAGGACCAAGGAGAAGGGGCAGAATTCAGAACTCTCACCCCAAAATCCCAGCTGAAGGAGACCTGCTTGTAGGAGCTACCTGGGGATGGCTAGGTGCTCTGCGTGGGGAATGCCAGAGAAGCAGCTCCTGTCCAGGTAGTGACATCAATCGTGCCTGGGAAAACAGACAGCTTCGGGGCAGAACAGTTGTCTAATTGCACCAGACAAAAGGGACCCTACTCCAGAGCAATGGCTCTAACTCACCTTTCTTCTGCAAACAGGACACCTGTGCAGGGAGCTCTTGCCGAGCCAAAGTAATGCTGTTGGCACATCCTTCCTGCTCCACAACTTCCAGGAGCAGCCCTGGCCGGAGCCGCGCTCAGCCCGGCTGTTTGCATCCCATCATCTCTCTTCCTCTTTCCTTCCTCCTCCCTGTTTTAACGGGTAGTGGGGAAAAGGGGACACATCACATTTTGAAAGGAGGCTGGTAGCTTTACACAGAGGTGGGCAAGCTCTTCAAGGGTTTCTGTTCTATTTCTCTATATTTTTAAGCTACCCTCCTCTCTTTTTATCCCCCAGACTATTTTAATCAAAATTTCCCTAGAGAAGAGAGGTTAGACATCAGTATCATGAGCCTATTCTGTCATTCCAAAGTTAGCCAGAAAGGTTCCCCATGGATGAGATGATCCATGTCCTCCCCAGGAACATGTCATCTCCACAGCTCTGTACAGACTTGGGGTCTGGAGGGAGCACTCTGGCCCTGCTTGCTGAATTGCCACGTCTGCAGTCTTCTGGCTTAGACACAAATCACTACATGAAGTACAGAGCGCAAAGATGCATTAGGAGAGATAAACTACAACTGCAGAAGTACCACAGCACAGTGTATCTGTGTAATGAAAATAGATTGTTCTCTGCCTTCTGAGCTGTGTGCGAGAGGTGATCACAGAGGCTCCAGCCATCTCCTGCATCTCGTTTGCCTGCGGAGCAGCGGAACAGAGCCCGGGAAGAGCGAATGGAGTAGTGCACGGGGACACAGGGACCGTTAATGAACCCGCTCCGTTCCTGATGAGGTCGTCTTTTCCATCTGCTCATTTTTTATGATTAGTTAATGAATTGGAGCCCAAATCAGATCATTCATCAGCACTCCTTTAATTGCCTGCCTATCCCTGTAGGAACCTGGAAATTCTGCAGTAACCAACCTACCCCCATGAGCTTGTATTGCAGCCATGTTTCCTGATTAACTGCGAACAAACAAGGCAGAGGTATGAAAATGAAACATATTTAACAAATTCCTTCCACACCTCTTGCAAAGAATGCATCTGTACCCTAGCCAGAAGCAACGGATCTCAGACCCAGAGAGAGAATCAGAGCTGCCCCACAATCCATTCAACAACTGGGCAGTTTGGGCCCAAAATGGCCCAACCCTCTGCCATGGGAGAAGCAATATTCAATACATTCAAATATCCAACGTATACAAATAACCGTAATTTTATCTCTCAGAAGACAATTCTGCAAGCTACTTCAGATAGGACCTGGCTTTTCCACTGCTGGCAAGTGGTTCTTGTGAGAGCGCAGGAACTGGGGGCCTGAGGACCGCCGGGGTGTCCCTCAGCACCAGGATCTGCTCTGGGATGAGGAGGGGCCAGTCCCTCCTCGGTGAGAAGGCACGAGTGCTGTGAGAGGACGCGGGGACAGGGGGAGCATTTGGGAGGATCACATCTCAAACGATGGCTGCTGCCAGCAACTTGCTGCACGGCTGCAGCAGGACGCGGGCCAGGGTCACAGCGATGCGACCCAGCTCTGCTGCGTGAAACGCTCAACACCACGGGGACCTCCACGGACAGCTTGGTAAGAGTGAAACAAGCCCTACCAGCTCGTGATCTTTGCCTTCCAGTTGCTGACCTTTTGGGAATTGTATTTTCAAGAGGTTTCCCCCACCCCCCATGCACAAGGGCGTCCTCTTTTTGTAAAATGAAAGTTAAGATCCCTTTTTCTTTGGTTTCATATGTCGCATGGCAGCAAGAACTTGGGACTTGAAAGCAATGCCCACGGGACAGTGAAAGGCTGCAGCACGTGGCAGCAGGTACCACCTCCCGCTGCCTCCTTGCATCCCTGTTCTCCCCTTGGGAGTTTGTAGCCAGCACAGGAGCCACACGCAGGAAGAGAGACGCAAAGGAGACCGTACCCAAGCTGGACAGAAGAGCGGCCACGGCCTGGGACAGGGAGGGCTTTGTTCTTAAAGCAACAAGATTTAAAAGGAAGCCCAGTGGTTTCCAGGGCTGTTCAGAACAAATTGGAAATATCCTTTGTTGATATCCTGAAAAGCAGGAGGAAGCTCACACTTGGCTTCTTTTTGCCTAATTTGTTCCATCATTAGCAGATATTAGACAGCCTTGGACAGATCAGTCCATTGCACATCCTGACCAAGCAACCCGCAGTACAGGTCTCCTCTCCTGCTCCAAGGGCTTTGCCCTGAAGGAGAAAGGCCATTTTAAAAATTAACATGAGGAAAAGCAATTAGGCTGTGGTGCATTTAGACTTCTAATCCATGATATATTCCTAGTCACTAAGTGTTTTAATGAGCACTTACTTCGAAGTCTTTTATTTCCTGGCTTGATCCTGATCAATTTTGCACAAGCTACCAAAGCAAAACACCAAACATCTCACCTAAATTCACAAAACACCAATTAGCTTAAAAGAGAAAATTCCGAGAGAATAAATGGTCTTTTGAAGAGCCATCACTCACCCCTTTCCTCCCTCCAGCTCTTTCATTAGGGAAGCAGCCATATGGAAGTCACTGCAAACTGCAGATGCCACTGCAGAACTTCTCCAAGCTACAATAGTCCTGAAAGATGGGAGAAAAAAAAGACATCATTGCATCTCCCCTTCCCTTCTTCTGTACCAAGTTCTGGGAATGAGAAGTTTCACATATTCCCCTAGAGGGAACAAAAATTTGACCCCCAAATATTTAAGTTGGACATACCAGAATGGCCCAAAAATGACTGAGCTCGTATGTGTATATATATAAAGATTTTTAGAATGTTTATCCACTGCCCAATAGAGTTACTACAATTAATTTATATAACTACGTATTTTAAAGTATTAATAGTCTAGATTTCTTAACTTTTTCAATTGTTTTGCATTAAGTCTTAATATCAGAACTGTTTTTAAAGTAACATTTCAAAAATACTTGGAAAAATCAGCAAGCAGAAACCCAAGAGATGAGATAAGGACTTACCAAGAAGCTTCAGGGCAAGGGTGCATAAACTGATCCCCTTCTGTAACTCCACCTGCTTCAAACAGAAAGTTACAGAGTTTGGAAACCACTATGGCCACACTGGTGACAACTTTTATTAAAAGCAGATAAAATACCTTCACACCAAAGTTCCAGCTTAAATATACTTTATAGGCAG